GGTACCCCCAATATACACCACCTCAATCAGGTTGTGCAACACGTGGAACACCCTGTCATTCTTCTCGATCCGACGATCCCGACAGAACTCTGCAAGCCAGATCTTGGGATTGCCGCCGTTGCGGGAGGTCTGGTTCATCCAGTGCAGCAGCGAGGCTAGCTGGCCCCTCCACGGACCCGTCGCCCAACTTCTCTGAGCGGGACTCCAGACACACCTGCCTCCACTCTTTGAACCGCTCACATCGGGGATCGAAGTCTACCCACAAGGTACGACAGTCCTCGGCGACCGCGGCGGGTGGCTCAGCGATGGGAGAGTCTGTGCCCTTCCCGCCGCCGGCGTCGCTCTCATGGACCGCGGGCTTCACCGCCGCAGCCGTCAAATCGAGGAGCTCGCGGACGCGGCCATCCGCCTCATACCTCTCCACCAGCATGCACTTGACGTACAGGTCGCCGGCGTGCTGCTTCAGCATCGTGCAGGAGCCCGCAGGGACGTCCACGCCGTCGGTTGGCTCCACCACCACCCCGACGGCGCCCGGCCCCTCGAACCCGAACACGATCCAGCACCAGCCGGGCGGCGCCCGACCAAGGGGCCGCGGGACCCCCGCGCCCCCCCCGACGCCGCCGCCGTCATGAGGCACCACTGCCGCCTCCATCTCCCGGCGGGCCTCGTCGGGCCACGGCGCCACCTCCCCAACGCTGGTCGCGTAGTCCTCGGGCAGGCGCTGGGGAGTCCCGGCCAGGGCGTGCATGCGGTAGTGCTCCATTGCCTTCCGCACCAGCTGCTCGTCAGTCCGGTACTCTTTGAACCTATAAAACTTTCCGCGCAGCACTCTCGGCGGACTCCCGTCGAGCGAAAGCATCGCGAGCCGATGCGGTCCAGGCTGGCTACCATCCAGCGCCTCGTCATACTCATCTCCGTCAGGCGTGACGATGCGCCAGTTCCAGCCTGGAGACGTCCCCAGCTCCTCAACACTCGTGCCGACCAGAAGCCGTTCGTGCCACAGAGCGTCCTCGCCATACTTCACCGCCGCAGTCTGCCCAGGCCGTAGCCCAGGCGATATAGCCTCTTCGGTGCCGACGAGCCCCGTCTCCAGCACCAGCCTCGCGCCGCTCGAGCCTCTCGGCAGCAGCGCCATCTTGACGACTCTGTAGCCAGGCGCGTGCCTGGAGTCCGAACGTCAACAAGCCCAGCAGGACGCCGGCCCAGCCCCCCGAGGGCGCCTCGGAATCACCGCGCTCGCAGCGACACTCGGGGGCGGCCTGGCCTTGGCTGCCCTCCTGGCCTTCGGCCTGTGTCACGGCCCGCGGCGGTGGGGGCGGGGGGCCTTGGTCCCTCGGCTGTTCGAGCGTCGAAGAAGACGAGGGGGGGGGGAGGGGAGGAGGAGGAGGAGGAGGAGGAGGAGGAGGAGGAGGAGGAGGAGGAGGAGGAGGAAGAGGAGGAGGAGACTGAAGACTGTAAAAAGACGATGTCTTCCCAACAAGCAGACCAAGGAACGGTGAGAAGACCACGTCGGCCGTGACTCGCTGCCCGCACGAGACGGTTCGGTGCGTAGGGTGGCATGGTCCCCTGAAGCCTTCACCGTTATTTCAGGTTCCTCGGCCAGGAAAACCACGACCAACCCTGCCGAATCGAGCGGCATGCGCAACCGGACTGTACGAATACGACAAGTCCAGGGCGGGTGGACACAAGGTCCCATGGGGTTCACGGGCCACACGACCCCACCTCCCGACCAAATGCGCAATCCCCGTGCCTGGTACCCACCTCCAGGCCACGGGCGCAGCTAAGGCGCCACATGCGGACAAACAAACTGCTTGCCGCTGGCTCCGAAAATTGGACCCGGTTGCTTCTCTCCTTGCCTGCTGCAGCGAGCAGCCCTGATAGTATGCCCTGTACGTGAAGACTGAGTACCAGGATACGGTACCCAGTGCCCACGCGTAGGGCGGAGGAGGAGGAGGAGGAGGAGGAGGAGGAGGAGGAGGAGGAGGAGGAGGAGGAGGAGGAGGAGGAGGGGGGGAGGAGGAGGAGGAGGAGGAGGTTGGGACCGACCGCTGCGGGCTCGTTCGCCTCAGGCGTGAGCCGACGCCGACGCAGCTCGGGCAGCGAAGCGAGCGCGGCCAGGGTCGCCCACTGCCAGTGAGCGAGCCCGGCGGCCACCGTGCGCGCCGCCAACTCTCCGGTTGATCTGCGGAGCCAAAGGCTTTCGGCAAAGCGAGGGGGGGGAGCGACAAGACGCGACAGGCACAACATTTTCGTGCGCGAACCCCCATTCTCACCTTTTCGCTTCCGATGGCCATCCGAGGCTTCAAGATGGCCCCAAGATGGCCCAAGAGGGCTCCAAGAGAGGCTCCAGAGAGCCCCAAGACGGCCCCAAGAGCGCCTAAGAGCGCTCCAAGAGCGCCCCAAGAGCGCCCCAAGAGGCGATTGTTGGGGCTCCCGAGGGGCAGCGCTGACTAATGCTCGCTTCTTGCTTGATCGATGTCCCCCAAGATGGCCCCAAGAGCGCTCCCAAGGCTCCCAAGAGCGCTTCAAGAGGGGCCAAAGAGGCGCCCAGGAGGCCCCAACAGGCGCCCAAGAGGCCTCCAAGCTGCTCCCAAGAGACCCGCAAGAAGCCCCCAGAAGCTCTTTCCGAGGCACCCAAGACGCTCCAAGAGGCCTCCACTGGGGGACCCTTCCTCTGTGTGCTGCCCACTTCCCTGATCCTCCGTGCATCGTTTCTGGATGGGCTGGTGGGGTTACTTTTTAATATTATTATTATTATTATTGTCATTAGTATTATTATTACTATTATTATTATTATTATTATTAGTAGTAGTAGTAGTAGTAGTAGTAGTAGTAGTAGTAGTAGTAGTAGTAGTAGTAGTAATAGTAATAGTAGTAGTAGTAGTAGTAGTAGTAGTAGTAGTAGTAGTAGTAGTAGTAGTAGTAGTAGTAGTAGTAGTAGTAGTAGTAGTAGTAGTAGTAGTAGTAGTAGTAGTAGTAGTAGTAGTAGTAGTAGTACTCTTAGTATTATCATCATTATTACCACTATTTTTATTATTATTATTATTATTATTATTACAGCCGCGGGCGGAAGCGCCTGCGGCGGCGAATAACGGTCGGGCTGCGGCCGATACTAATTGGCCGAACGCGCGCGCGGGCCGCGGCCGGCGCCGGGGCGGCGGGTGCAAGGGGGCTGCAACCCAGGGTGTCTGACGCCCAGGACCAGCACCCAGGGAGTCTGCAACTACGCTGCCAAAATGGCGCGATGCAAATAACCCCAATAGGCTGGTGGGGTTACGAGAAGCGTCTAGAATTCCAGAAATGCATGCTTTCCGTGGGAATGGGGACGATTTGTCCTTGTTCAGGCTCTCCGGGGGCTCTCTCTGGAGCCCACTTGGAGCATTTTGGGGGCCTCTTGGGCCGTCGGGCAGCTGTCTTGGGCGTCTTCGAGCGCTCGGGAACCGTCTCGGAGGCCCTCTTGAACACTTCGGCCGTCCTTGGGGGGCCTCCGGGGGCGGCTCGGAGCGCTCTGAAGCCATCTTGGAAGCGCGCCGGGGCCCCTGGGGCCCCTCGGGAGCGCTCCCACCCTGTCCTGGCCCCCTCTTGGGGCCGCCATGGGCTTCTGTGGAGCCGTCCTGGCGCAATGTTGGGCCGTCTTGAAGCCCTCCTGGCAGCCTCCTGAGGCGTCTTGGGGCGATCTTGAGGGCCTGTGTGGCCGTCTTGGACGCTTCGAAGACGAGAAACACGGGAACTCCCGAAATGCACGCTTTCCCTAGGGCTTGGGACGAGTTTTCCTTGTTCAGGCTCTCCGGGGGCTTTCTCTGGAGCCCACCACGTCTCGGAGGCCCTCTTGGACCGCTTTCGGCATTCTTCGGGCTCTCTTGGGGGCCTCCGGGGACGGCTCGGAGCGCTCTGAAGCCATCTTGGAAACGCGCCGGGGCCCCTGGGGCCCCTCGGGAGCGCTCCCACCTTCCTGGCCCCCTCTTGGGGCCCCCATGGGCTTCTGTGGAGCCGTCCTGGCGCAGTGTTGGGCCGTCTTGGGGGCCTCCTGAGGCGTCTTGGGACGATCTTGAGGGCCAGTGTGGCCGTCTTGGTTGCTTCGAAGACGAGAAACACGGGAACTCCCGAAATGCACGATTTCCGTAAGGATGGGGACGATTTGTCCTTGTTCAGGCTCTCCGGGGGCTTTCTCTGGAGCCCACTTGGAGCATTATGGGGGCCTCTTGGGCCGTCGGGCAGCTGTCTTGGGCGTCTTCGAGCGCTCGGGAACCGTCTCGGAGGCCCTCTTGAACACTTCGGCCGTCCTCGGGGGGCCTCCGGGGGCGGCTCGGAGCGCTCTTGGGGCCGCCATGGGCTTCTGTGGAGCCGTCCTGGCGCAGTGTTGGGCCGTCTTGGGGCCCTCCTGGCAGCCTCCTGAGGCGTCTTGGGACGATCTTGAGGGCCTGTGTGGCCGTCTTGGACGCTTCGAAGACGAGAAACACGGGAACTCCCGAAATGCACGCTTTCCCTGGGGCTTGGGGACGAGTTTTCCTTGTTCAGGCTCTCTGGGGGCTTTCTCTGGAGCCCACTTGGAGCATTTTGGGGGCCTCTTGGGCCGTCGGGCGGCTGACTTGGGCGTCTTCGAGCGCTCGGGGCCCGTCTCGGAGGCCCTCTTGGACCGTCTTCGGCCGTCTTCGGGCTCTCTTGGGGGCCTCCGGGGACGGCTCGAAGCGCTCTGAAGCCATCTTGGAAGCGCGTCGGGGCCCCCGGGCCGCGCCTGTGGCCCACGGCGACCGCTCGCCCATTTGGCTAGCGGTGAACGCTGCATTATAGTAGAGGTAACGTCGGGCTTCAGTTTTGCTTCCCACGTCGCGCAGAGAAGCGACAAGGCCTGCTGCGACTGCTTGCCCTGCTCGCAGGTGCTGATTTCGTAGCGGTAATAAAACTGCCGCTGGGCTCTCCACAGCATCGCGAAATTCGCTGCCTTCGCTAACGACATTCTTTACCTGCAACACGGGCCTGGCAATAGAATACGGATTACGCTATTCCGCTGCGATCAGGCCGCACATCTCCCTCGTCAACGACTGCACCAGTTTCTTGTGTCCGCCATGCTCGCACATGCTGGCTACAATCCCATACACGAACAAGTCCGAGTACAAGTTCATCTGGCGGATGTCTCTTAGCAGAAACAGAGCCCTCTGCCACTGCTTGCCGTTCTGGCACGCGCTGATCGCAGCGTTGTAGCTGACTAAAGCCGACCCGTGGACTACGCCCACGACATCTGCTCGAGGTGGCGAACGGTGTCTGGGCAAGCGTGCTTGCTTCTGCCTGGTGCTTTTACAGCCGTTTGGGTGCTTCTTGGGAGTCTTTTCGGCCTCTTTGGGGCCTCTGGGGCCACTTTGGGCGCCTCGTGGGCCGTCTTAGGGCAGTCTCGGGTGGCTCTCGGGCCGTCTTGGGGTCCCCGGGAGCTGTCGGGCCGTCTTGGGCACCTCCTGAGCCGTCTTGGAACCGTCCTGGGGCGTCTTGGGCTCCCTGGGGGGCCTTCGGGCCTGTTGTCCTCGGGCAACCTTGGAGGGTAGGGTAGGAGGGCCGTCGTGGGCGTCGTGGGAACGAGAAACGCGAGAACGGCAAAATACACGTTGTCCGAAAATTGATTGGGACGATCTGTGCTTCTTGGGGCCCTCTTGGAAGCCTTCTTCGAAGCATCTGGGAGCGTCGAGGAGGCCTCTTGGGCGGCCTTGGGGCCTCCCGAGCGTCTAGAAGCCGTCTTGGGGTCGCCCTGCGGCCCTCTGGAGGCGTCCTGAGGCCTCCCGGGGGCCGCCCAAGAGCGCGCCCAAGCCGACCGGCGCGATCTTGAGCCAGCGGGTCCCCCGCCCTTCCCGCACGCGGCGCCGCCGGCGCTGTCTTGCCCCGAGAAAGAGCATCCGACGGATGCCAAAGAGCAGGGGGTGCGTTGCAGCATCTGTTTGGGAGTTTGGGAGCCTCTTCGGGCTCTCTGGGAGCTCTTCTGGGCCGTCTTGGGAGGCACCCGGGGCTCTCCTGGGCCATCTCTGGGCCATCTTGGGTCGTCTTGGGCGCCTCGTGGGCCGCTCTTGGGGCTTTCCCTGAGCTGTATTGCAGCTCTCTTGGGCCGTCTTGCAGACTTGCAGGAGGTTCTGGGAGCACCTGGAGGACCTCAAAATTGCCCCAGCACGGGCTCCAGAGGGCCCGAAGGCGGCCCCAAGAGGGCCTTCGGAAAGCACCCAACGGGTGCTGCAACAGGGGGGTGCGTTGTAGGATCCTTTGGGGCTCCTCTTTCGGGCTCTCTGGGAGCGCTCATGGGGCCGTCTTGGGATGCACATGGGGCACGAGTGGGCAATCTCTGAGCCATATTGGGTCGTCTTGGACTCTCTTGTCCGTCTTGGGCCTCTCTTGGGCCGTCTTGGGCTGTCTTGGGGTTCTCTCGAACCGCCTTGGGATTCTCTTTGGATGCCTCTTGGGCCAGCTTGGGGCGATCTGGGGGGCTGTTGGGCCGTCATGGACGCTGCAAAGGCCCAAACATCGCATATGCTGAAAGCGTTGGAAAACATATAGACATAGAACATCTTCTATTGTTGGAGGCCTCTTGGACTCGCTGGGGCCGTCTGGAAGGCGCAGACATTCCCAGCGCCCCCTATGCACCCCGTTGCTGCGGTTGGCTTCGAACTTCGCCTCCCACATGTGGCTGAGCAACGCAAAAGCCCACTGCCATTGCCTGCCTTTCTCGCAGGCGCCGATCCCAGCGGTGTAGCTGATGACGTCGGGCTCCAGCTTCGCCTCCCGCATCTCGATCAGCAGCGCCAGGGCCCGCTGCCACTGCTCGCCCTTCTCGCACGCGCTGATCCCAGCATTGTAGCTGACTAGTGTGCACCCGTGGATTAAATCCACGGTGTGCTGAACCTGAGACGCGCACGCCGTGTGTGTGAGCCGGCGAAGGCGTAGCAGAACATAGCATCGGAGCCGAACAGCTCCTCGAAGATCTGGTCCGTAAAGCTCCTTGGGGGGTGGGATGGCAAGGATGGAGGTGGAGGCGGGAGGAGAGCAGATAACGGGATTAGGGGCGCTTGACTGCGGCGTTCTCGTGCCGCAGGCCACGCTCTGGGTCGGATCGTGGAACAATCACAACGGGTCTGAAATTCGTCCTCGTGGCTTGAGGGCTGAAGGGTTTTGGCCAGTACGGTCACTCCTTGTGTCCACGTCCGGACGAAGCTCGGAAACCCTGTGGGTTGGGGCCCTGGGAGAAAGAAGGGCGCGTGTTTGTATGGATAGTGGCAGAGCTGCGACTTCGTGAAGAGATGCTGGAGAAACTGGACCCTCGAGGTTGCCCATATCCGTGGATGGAGGGCGTTCGTGCTACACCCCGTGGAAAAGCAATGCAACTCATCTCTAAATGCGTCCCAGGACCCCTCCCTGTGTCCATCCGGCGCAATTGTCCGCCCCGGGTCTGTGCCTCAGGGGCCCTGGGCCCGGAAAAAGCCCCGAGAGGCCGAAGTCTGCGGAAAACAAAAACGGGTGAAAAAAATCCACCAAAAAAGGTGCAGTGTTTTTTCGGCCGTCAGTCCATGTCTTCAACAGCGGCTCTCCGAGCAGGTGAGGACGTCACCGGCGGAGGCGAAGAGGGCGCAGAGGGGACGGGAAGGGTCAGATCGGGGATGACGGCGAAGGAATGGAGAGAGGAACGGCATGTCGGACGATGCGGCGGCAAAGGAGATGGCGCCAGTGGTTCAACCACCAATGTCCCCGACGTTATCGGGCGTTCCTGCGCGGTTCGGCGTGTCTCGCATAGTCTCTGGGACGGCTGCACGTCCCCAGACGTGCCGGGGACTTTCGCGGGGCTCCTCACCAAGCGCCGAAGACGGTCAAAGAGCGCCTCAAGACTCTGAAGATGGCCCCCAGACAGCTCTAGAGGCTTCCAAGATGACCCAAGAGGCCTCCAAGAGACTTCCCAAGTGGGCCTCACGAGGCAAGAGTAAGAGCTTGTCCATACGTTGGTACAGCTATTTGGGGTTCGAGCTTTTTGGGTCCCATCGCTCTAAGACGGCCAGGACCGCTCCAATATTGGTCCAAGACCGCCCAAGGCCCGCAAGACGGCCCACGATGGCCTCATGACAGGCAAACATTGCCAGAAGACGTGACGCAGAGGCCCCAAGAGGGATCGATGGAGAGAGTCCCAGGGAAGCTGCGGCCCGAAAAAAATTATGTGCTTCGAGCGATCCCCACCATCCTCTTCTTCCTGCTCTTCCTCCCGCGGAGTATGTGATCACCTGCTGCTCGTCGGGCGAGAAGGCGGCGTCGTGCAGCCGGTCCTGGTGGCCCGACAGCGTGGCCGGTCCCAGGGAGCACTGGGACAACTTGGGGTCTGGCGGCCGCGGTATGCAATGTGGGGGTGTGGCCGGGGGGTCTGTTCTGAGAAATCTAACGACCCCAACCTGTCGGGTGGGGAAGAAGGCGGATGTCTTCTGTCATGCTCTGTTCTGGTATGTGCTGTTCTGTCATGTTCTGTCATGCTCTGTTCTGTTCTGTGATGTTGTGTTCTGTCGTGTTCGTCATGTTCTGCGCTGTCATGTTGTATTCTGTCGTGTTCGTCGAGGGCGCGAGGCGGGATGGGGCGGGAGCCCCAGGGAGCACTGGGACCACTCGGGGTCTGGCGGCCGCGGTATGCAGGGTGGGGGTGTGGCCGGGAGGTCTGTTCTGAGAAATCTAACGACCCCAACCTGTCGGGTGGAGAAAAACGTTGGATTCACGATGCGCTGTCCCGTGTGTCCCTTGCAATCGCCTGAAACGCATGGTGTTTTCGAGAATTGCCATAACCTGTCGTATTTGCAAAGTGCTTTGGACGATGCGGTCGGCACGGCGCCAGCAGCGAAATGCGCATTTTCCTAATGTGTTTGGGCCGATTTGAAAGGACACACGGGGAAAACGTTGGGTTTCGGAGGTATGTGCGGCGACGTCATGGACGGGCCCATGTGGAAGCTTTCAAAGCGAGCGGCGGTCCATGTGGGAATGTCGCGGGGCTCTAGGGAAAGTCGTGGCGGGCCCAAAGATCGCCCGCCCTGGTAGAACGCACTCGAAATGTTCCAAGAGAACTCGGAAATGATCTCCGGAGAGCTCCAAAAGTCAGAAGAAACCCCGAAAAGCATGTGGGAGAAAGTGCTCCACCGCCAAGGCACGTTGGCGGGGTGCGCCGAAGGCCAGTGTTTTCAGGACATGCGATTTGTCAACGTCGTTCAGGCTCTACGTGCGCGGCCGGATGTCGAGCAGTGGGCACGCGGTGGGATGTCTGCGCAGGAGCTTCTGGAAGTCGCTAAGCTCACAGAGTACAGGCTCCGCAACACTACGTCCATCACCTGGTGCGCTGTCCAACTTCCAGATTCGGCCGGACACAGCCTTCACCGCAATCCAATGTGCGTTGTTCTGGTTTACCACGACCCCGACCACGTTAGGCGCAAAAATGTTCATCGCGTCCTGTGGTAGAACGGGAGCATTGAGGTTCAAGGAGAAACTGTTTCCGCATCGTTGAAGCACAAACGCCAGCACCGCCTCGGAATAATCTCCAGAGGGGCTCATGTGGTCGCGCAGGCGCTGTGGGAGGCCGTCTAAAGCGGCATGCTCGATGAATGCATGGGCGGATGCCTCCATGGTCCCCTCGTCGAGCAGCGCGAAGCCCAGGGCGTTGTTGAGCGCGTGCATGCCGCAATGGGCGCCGCGCTGCCGCTCGAAGAATCCGGTGAATCGCTCCCTCTGCTTCGATGAGCTGGCGGCCTCGCATCGTAGCTGTGTTGAGGGCATGGGGTCGGCGGAATCTGCACTGGGATTGTCGTTCTCTGTGGCTGCGCATGTTTGGAACAGCGTCTCAGGAGGCGCTGGGGCGTCCACGACTGCTCCGCGCTGGCGCAGCGGTGCGAGGACGACGTTAGCAGAAGCATCGTCTGGGGGCGCCGGCCCGAACTCATCGATGTCGTCTGGCCCGTGGTCCCGCGCGAAGCGTCGCGGCCGAGCAGCGGGGCTCGGCGGCGCCTCGGAGCCCTCGTCCAGGAACGCCGGTGCGTCGTCACTGCTGGAAGCGGCGCCCGCGAGCGGCATCTCTGTATCTGCGCGCGCGGCGGGGTGGGCAGGCGATGGCGCTGGGCGGGGGTGGCTCAGGGGCGCTTCTGGCCAGACGACGTTCTTCGTGTACGTGCCAGTGGGATATGTATCCGAAGCTTCCCGCGCTCCGTGTTCGTCAGTGGTGGGGACCAGTGCGAGGATGCGGTTGGACGCCCCGACCCGGCTGAAGGCCACGTATAGCTGGCCGTGGGAGAACACGGGGTCTGGCAAGTACAACCCGACGTGCTGCAACGTCTGTCCCTGCGCTTTGTTTATTGTCATGCACCATGCCAGCCGCGCGGGAAATTGGAAGCGACGCAAGATGAACGGCAAGTCCGGGTTCCGAGGCGCAAGGGCGATCTTGGGAATGTATGCTCTGGTGCCCGCTTGTGTGCCAGACACGAGGAGCACGTCGAGGACCCGGGGCTGCGCGCGGACGACGATGGCGCGAACTCCGTTGACCAGGCCCGCGTCGGCGTCTAAATTTCTGAGCAACATGACCAGGGCCCCCGGCGCGAGCGCGAGCTCGTGGGGCGGCAGTCCAGACGGCGTGAGGCTGTTCAAGAAGTCCGTCGGCCAGAGGTCCCGCTCCGCCGGCGACGCGGCGTCCACGTCGTCCACGCTGTAGTACGTGACGGTCGTGTCCGGGAAAGCTTCGCGCAATATAGCGACGTTCACTGAGTCGGCCGTCGCGTTCTTCGGAGTGAGAATCGCCCTATCGCAGAAGTACTGCAAGTCTTCGGCGGCCACGTCGCCCCCGACGCACCTCGCCGCTGACGCAGCGATGTCGGCGTAGATGGCGCGCGCGAGGTCCTCCGGCCCCCAATGGCTGGGGGCGACGATGTTGTCGGGCAGGCGCACGGCCTCGGGGTGGATGTCCGGAAAGGTCGGTGCGCGGCCGTCTCCGATGTCCAAGAGGAAACGCTGCCAATCGGCGTCGCCCCTGGCCCGCATGTTCTCCGTCAGGGCGTGGACCTCCACAACGCCCGCGCGCCACAAAGGGTGGTTCAGCAGCGAATGCTGAACGAGGTCTTCGCGGGCAACCCGTGGGATGACGGGGAGCACCTGGCGGAAGTCGCCGCCGAGGATCACCACCTTGCCGCCGAATGGCGCGTCCGTCTGGGTAACGTCTCGCAGCAGTGCATCGACGCATTGCAGTGCTCCCCGAGGGGCCATCGGCGCCTCGCCCCAGAGGATGACTCTAGCTCGTCGCAGGATTTCGGCGCGGCTCGTCTGGAACCCGATGTTCGAAGCGACGTCGTCCAAGGGCAGCGGCACTGGTAGTCCGAAGCGGGAATGGCATGTGCGTCCCCCTGGCAGGAGGACAGCAGCGATCCCGCTCCAAGCGCACGGCAGGGCGATCTCTCCCATGCCACGCACGTGGTGGAGGATGGCCTTGTACACAAAGGTCTTGCCCGTGCCGCCGGGGCCGTCGATGAACACGGCGAGCGGACGGGCTCCGATGACGGCGTCGGCGACCTGGTCAAACACGATCGCTTGCGCGTCGTTCATCATAGACCGATGGGACCGCGCAGATGTCCATTCCTCTTCTGCGTCGTAGGCGGTTTCCCTACGAACATCTCGGGGCTGCAGGCCCGCGACGTCGTGGTCCGTGGGCGTTGGCAATCCGAAGTCCGTCAGCGTCTTCCCAGCCTGGCTGAGTGCCTCTTGAACGTGCAGAAGCGCTGCGTTCTCCGAGT